TTTAGAATAAAACAGGATATTATTTATGGTTCCTAACATAAAAACATTAAAATCTTTAGCCTGATGCTATGCCACACTACAGGGAATTTTTCTGCATATTTAATATAGAATGTTGCTTTAGACTTAGAGAAAATATTTTTGTTCAAAGCTTTATTTTAATTTAGGCAAGAAACATGGAATAATGAATTAGATCTGAAATGCCAACACTTTTCATCCTGTCTCTTCTTGGCAAGCATTGAGAAATCATGAAAAAGAAATCTATTATGAGGCAAATAATGGGAAGATAAATTTTGTTGTTTCTTATACACTTGCAAACCATGAGTCAAGAGTGTTGATTTGAGTGCCATTTCTGTTTAGTAAGTTTTTAAAATGGGCTTATTTATAATTTCTATTTTAATTTTTTTTATTTAGAAATTAAAATGTTTTAAAAATTCTATGTTTTATCTGTTTAAACCTGTACTATATAATGAGCATTTAGCTTCTGGCTGTACCTGCGATAATCTTGCATTAACTTAGTCCTGGCACAGTTTCTGATCTCAGTGCTTCATAGCTCTTGGTGGTGATCAATTTTCAGGTTTGCTTCTGGTGTTTAACCTTCTGCACCTCTGTCAGGGAAACTATAAATTCTGTAGCATAAATAACAATAAATGTTACTGTCTGCAGTTCATGTAAGACAAAGTTCTGTGAGCAAGATACCTTGGAGCAAGTTTTTAATCTACTTACACAGTGGTTTATAGAGACAAGCATGTTTACCTCTGGCTATTCTTGCTGTTTTACAAATAAGAAATGTGTGTGTTAAAAGGAATGTATTTTAAATCTCATTGAATATATCCACACATATTTAATGTGATTTGAAAGAAGCCTATAGTATCTCTTATCAAACTACAGTGTCTCAAAAAATTGCTTTCTGCAAACAATTTCAGTGTAGACCAAAGTTCATTCAAGGAGATTTTCTGACCTTTCAGGAGCTGCAGGACAGGAATTAACAGGAAATGCACACAGGCACAGTATTACAGGTGCAGAGGATTGGCAGATTGACAGAAGCCAGCCTATCATGGCAATGCCTGGTTTTAATCAAAGTGCCCTGCACAGGAGAGTTGAGTAATATACTTAATCAGCACAGAGGGTAACGTTTTGTCTCACTGTTCATGTCTTGACTATCAAACCACTGCAAACCACCAGGAGAAGTAGTGGTTGAAAAGCCAGCAATGAAAAAGCAGTCCTGTTTCATATATATCTCCAAAATGAAAGTGTGAGGAATGAAATAAAATGCTGTTTTTAGAAATATGGTTTAATGTGATACAATATTTACATTTCTTTTGGAGGACTTCAATTATTTTGCATGTAGAAACTTCTTCCTGCTTGTAATAGTAAGTATTTCTTCAAATTATAATATGTGCTGTTCCTTTTTACTGTGCTCTCAATGTGTATATATGCAGTAGTGAGTGGGTGGTTTGGGTCACTTAATCCTCATCAGAAATACTGGCAAAACAGGGCTCAATATGAATTTGTGAAAGTCATAGAAATCCTAGAATGGGTTGGGTTGTGTTGGGAGAGACGTCACCTTGTTCCACCCCCTGCCATGGGCAGGGACAGCTTCCATTAGACCAGATTGCTCAGATCCATCCAGCCTGGCCTAGAAAACTTCCAGGGATGGGGCATGTTCCTCAGCCTCCTGGCCACACTGCTCGTGATGCAGCCCAGGACAGAGTTGGCTGCAGACACACATGGTCAGGTCATGCTTCTCATCCACCAACACCTCAAGTCCTCTTCAGAGCTGCTCTCGCTGCATTTTTTAATTGGAAGCTGTATACGGGCAGAAACCTAAATTGTTAATGTCTTATGTTGCTGGTCACAAACTGCAGTGTGTGCTAAAGTTGGTTCATTTGTTTTTCCCCTTTTTACCTCCTATCAATTCAAGAACAAATTGTGAAAGTGACAGTAGGGGCAAGAAGGTGCTTTGAACTATCTCAAGGATTAAAGCTTTTGGGTTTTCAGGTAATACAGTTTTAACAGTGCCTTTGGGAAAGAAGATGAAAGGAATTCTACAATTTATGGTAAAACAAAAAAAGATTAAATTACTTGAGGCCAGTTATGAAGAAAAAAGGAATATTGAGAGGCAAAATTGAAAGTGACAGAGGGCAGAGAATATATCAGCTTCTGTAAATCCCTTTGATTTTTTTGGTGGTATCCATAAAATGAAGATGATCTACTTCAGGACATTCTGAAGGCAGGTGTATGGTTGTATCTACATTTAAGAAATGTGAGGGAAAAAATGTTCTCAAATAATCTGAGAATATTAATAGTTTTCTGAAAGGTCAAGTTATACTCAAGAGAGAACTACAAGCAACTTCCTTTATAGTGGAAAGATAATATAACCTGTTAGTGCATAATTTTTTTGAGTTGTTTTTTGTTTCAGTATGGAAGGGCACTTTTTCTGTGCTCTCCCTTTCAAGGCATAGAGGGTACTGATATTTCCATTCTGTGCAGATGTGTGTGGTGTATTGGGACTGCAAAGATGCCGACTCACTCTTTATATGCTGTGTAGTTCCCAGAAATGGAGTAAAAAGAGGAACCTTGTGTGGGTCCATGTGCAGATGACATCTCACATAGTGAGTTGTTACATAATTTTAAATCATTGCATCCAGACTGTTTAGCTTTGTAGAATTTGTATAGGACCATGGTAACATTTACATAGGAAGTCTATTAACATTTCTTCCTTGGAGTCTTTAGTATAGAATATAAGCTTTGACTTCTCCAATTAGTTCTGCTACTACCAAATCATAATAAATCCATGGGCTTTGCTTTTTGTTCATGTGTTAGTTCTTGGTGACTTTTGGAGCTTCATGGCATTAATGCTTCTTGCTGAATTCTAAGAATATTTTATCTTGTTTATATGTTGTAACTAGAAAAGTGAAGAACATAATATTGCAGTTTTAAATCAGCATTAGGATGTCATAGCCCTTCAATATCTGACCTTTCTGTATTTACTTCAGTGTAAGTTTTTGCCCTTGATCATTGGGTTGACTGTGCCTTATACTGTTTCCTTATAGCTTCATACTGCTCCTTCCATTATGTCACACTAAGCTCTCAGAGCAAATGTATTGTTTGGTAGCTCTCTTTCTGAGGAAAATTTTAGTGTGGAAATTAGCCATACTTGACTTCATAAATAATGTATATCTAACTTCATCTGCAGTGTTTTATAGTGTAATGTTGGGTCTCCATCAAAATACACAATGGCCAGTCTTTCATAGAGTTGCAGACGTGTTTATTTTTACTGCTGCACCTGTGCCAGTGTTAGAAAAGACTGATTTGTGATAAAAAAATGAAGCTCATTGAACATGTTTTTTAATGCCTGTAAATATGGTTATTGATACTTTTGTGCCTCATTTTCTCTGTTGCGGCTTCCAGCATGTTGGTAAACTTTACCTCTGAAGCTGTGGTAACAGAGTACCAGGTGTGTCCCACCCCATCAGTAGAAAGCTTTTTTTGGTATTTAGCTGAGAAGCATTAAGGAAAGAGATTGGATATTCTTCAATTCCTTTTATTAGGATCTTTGTGCTCTGCAAGAGGCAAGGTAGTTTCAAAAGACTTACAAAGGATGTGAATTTCCCCCTTTAGCTCCATGTCCAGATTAGGTAGTTCTTTGCCTGGGACATTAAGAAATGAGGCATAAAATAGCAAAATTGGGAAGACAAGTGTGACAGAGAACCTCAGTATTTGATATCATGTGGTGATTGCCGCTTTGAAATGCAACTCCTAAACAGAATGTGAGGCATAGACCCACCGAGATGAACAGGAATTCTGAGAGCCTGTTTCATGTCCCTCTTGTCTGCCAGTGACAAGAGGAAGAGGTTACCTTGGAAACACCAATAGAGGTTTCTTCATTAATGAATGCTGATATGGAATAATGCAAAAAATTGATAAACCTGGTGTATGTGACAGTCCTTGTTGTCAGCTGTGATGCTTGGAAGACTCTGAAGCTGGCAACTAAAGTTTGTAACACAGCTTCTGTCCTTTGTTAATACTATGGAGGTTATGGGGTTTTGTCCAAAAGCACTAGAAAAAAAAATATACAGCCATTTTGGATTTAAGGTTGTCAAAAATATTCCTCGCACATGCACTGAGAAAACATGTTGTGAGAACAGTGAAGGGCTGTAAACTGTGAGCATGCATATGGAAAAGAGATGCAACAGAATTTCTTACTAATTTCATATAATACCCTCACACTCCTGTTGAGTTATGGCAATGTCAACGCAGAGTATTTAAGGTGGCCACACATCAGGCACACATTTGTTCTTGGCCTCTCACTGTTTATGCCATTCCCTGTATGTTGAGATTTGTCTGCATGGATTGCACCACGTTTTTGTACAGTTAAAGCAGTAAAATTATAATTAAATGATGGAATCAGGTTAATGCTTGTTTTGACATATTTTGAGATGAGAAAAAAGGAGTAATTAACACCATGAGTAGTTGATATGGAGGATGCTGCTTAAATTGTAATTGTTGTTTAAAAACCAAATATATATATCCCAAATTTTATTCACTCTTTTTTTCCCCAACTTGTAGACACTCGTGATATGTGCTATTCAGAAATACTTCTCTGTTTAAGATACCCATATCCCCATCAAAAGGATTTAAATTGTTTCAAGACTACATCTGTTTATAATAAAACATTTTTCAAATCTTACTTTTTAGTAATGCTTGGTAATAAAACCCATTAAATTTTTGGAGTGTGTGATAGAAGTGGGAGATAAATGGATTATTTTGAAATGGCTGGAGGAAAACATATAATAGCCATGTCTAGTTTTTATTTAGCTTTCACTTACAGTGCAAGACCAAGGATGCTGTCAGATTAAGTACCCTACTTTCTTTAAAATACATGAAATGTCATCCATGTAATTGTGTGACAGGCTGGAAGTTCTTGAACATCTAAATTGTATTTTTTCCTTGTTTGCCTCTTGAAGTGAGTAATAATAGAGTGTTTGGGTTTTTTCCAGATAACCTTTTTCATGCTGCTCTCTGCAGTGTGTGTGATGCTGAACTTGGCTGGGTCCATTCTCTCCTGTCAGAATGCTCAGCTGGTGAAGTCCCTGGAAGGATGTCAGTTGGTGAGTGATGGAAAACACTTTGTTTCTTACCAAGGGCAAGGCTTCTGGTTTTCATCTGTTAGGGTTTTATTCACACACTCCTTTAATTTTCAAAACAGTATGTATTTAGTAGAGCAATCTGTGTGTTGCAACCTAAAAAAACATTTTGGGAAAAGTTTTAAGTGCTAATGGATTTAATGTTTTGCCACCTCAAAAAGTAATTTTTAATATCATAAGGATTGACTTTTTACTGTCATGGTAAAAATGATGCTTCAGCAGAATAGGTGGAATTCAGGACACATCAGAGCAGTGTGGTGGTTACCTTGATGTCAGCAGGATCAGGATTCATTCCATCCAATACTTGTCCAGGCAGTGGATTTCACAATAGGAGTGTTTTGGTATGTGTATGCTAATATTTTGTTTGCCAACCTGAGTTGTTTTTCTTTTTCATTTACAAAGTAAATGAATGTTACTTGTGTTAAATAAAATACAGAACAATACAAATTATCATGATGTAGAATGCTCTAAATTATAAGGTACAATTTACCTAAAGCCCTTGTGTTTTTATATAATGGAAAAAAGTACATACAAATTGAATTCCAGTATATTTTCTGACTTCAACTTGCAAAGATGTCTGCAGAAGTCAACTCATGGCTGAAATACTGAGTTTTAATAATAAGTGTTCAAACTGTAGTTTGGATTTTTAGAGCATGATGAAATGCTAAGTAGCTTTGTCACAGTGTGTTGTACTCTATAAGGGCAAGTTAATTTCATTGTGGCTGTTTATCACATTGTAACTGTTAAAAAAAAAAAAAAACCAACAACAGTTTTATTCTACCCAGACCTCACTCTTCAGGTTTTCCGTGCTCAAAATCCCCTTTCAGTCAGGCTTGGGACTTCCACATGAATATATTGCATTGCCATGTTGCAGGGCTCATATGTATGAAATTCTAGAGTTCTGTTCTCATAGACGACCCTCTGGGAGGGATGCACTGTAGTGAACAGCACTGCTTTATGATTAAGCACAGGATTTGACTCAGAAGGTGGTGGTGTATTATGCTGAGCATATTTAATTACTTTATTACCATTTTTCACTAAAAAAGGAAAAATCCTAGTTTCTTAGCAGCTTGTTCCAAGTGTATATTTAATTTTAATTCCTTAGATGGCTCTCTTTAGTGCTGTAGAGCTGTGTAATCCTGCACTATGTGACTGGTGTACATTATCAAATCTAAATCCTTTACTTGCCTCCTAGGATACAAATGTCCTCTCTGGGGATGCAGGTCTAGGAGTCAAAATCCAGCCTTTGCAGACATGTAGTTTGAAATGCAGTTAACATCCCATGTAACTGAACCAGTAAATTTCCAAGCACAGTATACTGAAAAAGTCAAATTCAAAATAAATTCTGTTTTAGTTCTGGTCTTTCTGTCAAACTCATTCATGGTGAGTACATGTTTAAAAGTGATAATAGGATCTACTGTATTATGGAGTTTAAATTCAGCAGGGTTTCACATGTAGTGTTTTTATTTGAAGAAAAATGCAAGACAGTGGTCTTATTTTGCTTTAAACACTGGGGATTTGTTGTAGATTCCATAATATGTACTTTACTGTGAATATGAGAAATGTGCTTGCCATATGTTAGCATTTGGAATGTGTAATTTGTGAAGTTGGTATTTGTGCCCTTGATCCTGCAGCTTAGCAACATACAACATGAGGGGGAAAAAGGCAGTAGCTTTAACGCCTTGTTATGAAAAATTAATTGGAATTTTTTTTCCCATAATTACCAGCAGATCCTGTAGCCAAAACCTCAAGATACTGCTTTAAATCAGTGAGAGTCAGATGTGTACAGAGAAGTTACACACTCAGGCTGTTCATTAATGTGTATAGGAGAAACATTTCTGTATAGGAATTTCTTTTCCAAATAATGGTTGTCTAAAAAATGGTTCTCCTAAAATGTATGGGTAGAGTAATTAATATATTTTCATTTATGTTCTATTACTACACAAGACAGAATACGTTTTATTTCTTCATCTATGTTTGTTTTTATTGTGTTTAGCTGTCTTGTAAGCCATTTATTCACTTAAAAAGAAACTCTGTAGTTTTAATGAAATTTACAGGTGATTATTATTCAGAAAAGTAGTGAAGGTGTCAATCTCTCTATTGAAAGATTACTTTTTTTTTTGGTTGTACAGCTGAAATTAGCAGTGGATACAGCAACACATAAAGGAAGAGTCATCTTTCCCCTGAATTATCTTTAGCTGGAATAGACAAAGCAAGGAAGGTGAAGCAGGTGCATGTTCACAAAGAGCTGAATGGCAGAGCCCAGGTCCAGAACTGAGGTTTATTTGTATTCCATTTTGCAATGGAGCCAAACCCAGGTCTGTGCATATTGAAAAACAATTTTTAAAAGTCCAGGAAAAAGAATATACTCTGTTTTTTTCTTAGTCATCTGTCAGTTTTTAATCTTGATATTTCCCTACTATGCAGCTTTATCATTACTGGATCCTCCCATCTTTCTCTCTGCATAAGGTACTAGAATTGAAGTTCCTTCCCCTAAGTACACCAGTGGAGCTTTCTTGTACTTCACTGCCTTTTTATCAACTTTGGAACTCTGATACTTCATTTTGGAATTTTTCCTTCCCTTTTTTTATGTTCTCTATAAAAAACCCTGAAGGTTAATTTAGCAGTAGTAGTAAAATCTATAACTACTTTTACTAGAAGACTTGCATTTGTATTAAGAAGGTGGTAGAATGCAAACAGTGTTAACTAACTCCTAATTTGCCCTGTTAGGGGAGAGTGTCTGTGCACTTAGCAGCCAAACAAGCAAACAAGCTTCTTTCCAGCAGCATTGACAGAATTTGATTAATTGATACAGATGAAAAAAATAACATAAAGCCTGTGAGAGTGTGTGCATGTATTTGTAATAAATTTGGAAGATGCTTTCCTTTTTTGATTCTCTGCTGTATAAAAGTCAAGTTTTAATGGGTTTTATGACTTTTGATGTAACAGTAGTGCTTTTTGACAAAACAAAAACTTACAAGACAATTTATGCATGTAGGCAGCTCTGGCTGATGTTTGAAATCTTAAATATGGTTTGGATGAGGGTGTACTGTGCAACTGTCATAAATATGAAAGCACACAAACTCTACTGTGAGTACTGACTAGCATGAGTAAGAATCACGAAGTGGGACACAAATATGCACAGGATGGTGGGGGTATGTGCAGGGGATGAAGTGAATGATGCTTTATTCTTGAGCTCTGCCAGCCAAAAAAAGATTGAAGCACAGACAGTTTTGGAGGCACTGCTGGTGTAATTGTGTCTGAGGTTGGCAAACACCAGCCCAGCAGCTGCAAGGGGTGATCCCAACCCCTTCTCCCTGTACCAATGCAGATTTATTGGCAGTGCTACTGTCTCTGTTTATGGAGTCACATAGTGAAATGGCCTTTGAGATGTGATTTGGGCTAACAATAAACCACTTCTCCTCCTTCCTTCACAAATCAAAAAAAATGTTAATTTTGGCACTGTTTAGGTGACAGAATAGCTGTATGAACTCTTGATCCTGTCTGCACAAGTGTGAGACCACAGCAGGGCAGGGAAGGGCAATCTGGAGCAGGGGTTCAGGAGTGTTTTCAGCTGCTGCATCACTGAGAACACAAAAGCAGTGACACCTACAGCCTTTGGTCCTGCTCCTCTTGCAGGAACACAACTCAGCAAACAGGTCACTTCACAAACATGGAAGGAAAAGGTGCATAACAAGGCAACTTGATAAAAATTCTCAAAAAATAATATGCTTCCAATCTGGTAGTGAATCTTGGCTGGTTTTGAATATGCTGTGATTCTTAAGGTGGCCCTGTGTTTTGCAAGAACTGTCATGTCAACAACTAGCTTTTAACTTATTTTAAGAATTACATTGAAACAAGAACTACTACACAGTACAAAGTTATGGAACAACTTTCAGAATGAATTGAGAATCTCACATAAATGGGGAATCTTGATCCTGCCTTTTGAACCTTATCTTTGTGACACCTGTTCATTACATGTGATACAGGTGGCCCTGCGATCTGTATTTCACATTCAAAATGCCAGATGCATGGCATAAGTCAGTGCCTGTCCTTTATTAAACAGGGGCAGCGAGAATCAGAATAGACAATCTTGCAGTAGAAAGCTTTGTCTGAAGTCCATTTTCCTCATTACAAAAGCTTTTTAACAGCTGAAGCCTATATTGATGTACCAGGTGTAGCCTTCTGGCCCCTGGCCTTGGCACACCTCTAAATTCAAAGCGTGAGTTCCAAAATTCCTCAGCAGCATTTCTTAACCCCTGAACCATTTCCAGAGAGTTTTGGGAGCAAGACCTCCCCAGTGACATCCAGTATTTGATTTTACATCAGGTTGAAGAGCTGAGGTCAGTTGATCATAAACCATTTAGTTGTGTTTTGCTCAGATATTTCAACTTTTAAAAGTATAAAAAGATTACAGGAATTGGAAAAGAACTAGTTTGAAATTGTTCAAGTTGCTTTGTAGTTAAATTGTATGCTAATGAGAAATAAACCCCACAACTATCACAGATGTGAGCAAATTGTGTTTTTTCATTGTTTCTTTGCAGTGTCTATGGCATAGGGTATGACCAGTTTCTGTGATTTGCCACAGACAATTATTTCCAGTGTTGCCTTGGAGAATATGGGAAATGGTGTAATTTACATACCCAGTTTTTTCTAAAGCCTTTTACAAATTGTGCTGGCTAGAGGGCAATCTGGAGTCTCAGGAGCTGCAGTCTCCTGAGGTAGCTCCTGCCCTGAGCGTGCTTTCATCACAGTAAGCAAGCATTCAGTCATCTGTACCTCATCTGGAGAAGTTTATTATGTTCTTTTAATTGACTCTTATTTGTGCTTTTCCATCTGCTCCCTGGTCACCAGCATGTAAGGAGAGAGTGAGAGAGTGCTACATAAGCCTGATAGGGGTAGCACTAAAAAAATACATATATTTAAATATATAACTTTTAAGATAATATGAACCATTTAATGTTATTTGAGGTCTAAGAAGTAAGTAAATATTCTCTTGAAATGATTCTATGTATAAGGCTGTGCAAGGTAATTCCACAAGGAGAGCTGATACCTGTTTTTGTTCAGGAAATTGGCAACATCCTAGAGAGAATTTGCTTTAAAAATATCAAATCTGTATTTGGATTAGGAATTTCTTTGTCGATTTGTGTCTGGAAATTTTGGGGTTTTTTTTAATGCAAAAGAATAAGTAACAGAGTGATTCAATTCTCCCCACCCAGCCACTGTGCTTCCATCTTTACTTTGGGGAATAAAGGACTGATTTGTGATCATGACTCCTTCACATATTTTCTGGTGTCTTTGTGTTATTTTTGGTTTTCCCACACTGAGTATGGTTTTGTGTTTATTCAGTTGAGTTAGTTTGGTTTCACCTGTCCCTGCAAAGCAAATTTTTTTCAAAAGGCAGCATAAAGACAACACCTTTGACATTGAATCATCTTTCTGTATTTTACGTGTTTTTATAGCTTATATTAGCCATTAGAAAACATTCTGCACCTAATGTTCTGCACAGAGATTTTAATTTTGCATTTAATAGTCATTACTGTAAGTGTAAATACTATTTTTGAGAATTGTGTTTCTGTTGATTTATACTTTTTCTGACCTTTTCTTTTCTCCACAGATCAAATTCGACAGTGATGGTGTCTGTGTTTGCTGTGAAATGCAGCATCAGACATCAGGCTGCAGTAACTTGGGAGAAACACTGAAACTGAACCCTCTGCAGGAGTGCAATGCAGTGAGGCTGACCCTCAAGGTGTGTTAGGAGAGAATTAACTGTTTATTGCAGTTTTAACTTGGCAAGAGAAAGTATGTGGTGAAGGGAGCAGCAGCTGCTGTTCTCTCTTTGGCCACCCTTATGTGCAAAAAACTTCTCCATCTCAGTATCAGCATTTGTGTGGGTAACTGTTTTGGTGAAGATTACTCAAGAAACAGAACTTCAGACTGGCTGTGGTTTTTGCTGGAAGGTGCAAGAACAGGTATCTTTCACTTCCCTGTTCGAGGTGGTGTTTGTTGATGTTATGGTCTGCTGCAAAGAAACACAAAGCACTGCAGAATGATGAGGTATTTCCTGATGTGCTGCTCCTACTTTGGGAGGGAAGAGTCAGTGTTCTTTCTGGGTGATGCTGGAAACCTGCTTATAAACTGCCCTGCAACATTGTGAGAAGTTTAAATCTTGTAGCATTTTGTGTTACAGCTACCCAGATGAAAAATTGAGAGCAAATACTAAGAGTGTTGTGTGAGTTAGAGTACAGTGTAATTGTTGCCATCATTGCTTCACTTCATTATCACCAAATGGGAAGGCATTGATGCTATGTTGTTTTGAAAAATAATAAGGAATCAATGAGAGAACTGCTCAAAAAAAGGAACCATAGGCTGAGAGGCAGATGCTGATTCATTCTAGGTTTAGTTGCATGATCAGCAGAACTCTGTATTGTTGACTCTCAATTTCAAAATATGTACTTTAATAAAACTAATAGAAAATAATGGAGTAAAGTAGAGAAATTCATTGTGAGAAGGATCTTAGGGAGGTAGATTTTCTCAAATGGGTCCTGAGAAAGTTATAAAAGTTTTATTCATATTTGAAGATATATTTTAAAATTCTGACTGGGTAGAAATGCTATACAAGGTATGTAGTAAATACCTAAATGTTCTTCAGTCTTGCTAAGAAAAAGAAAAAAAAAAAAAAATAATAAAAAAAAGCTACCACCAAGTAATATGGATGAGGTAGAAGTTAAATTATGGCCCCAAAGTTAAATAAGAGCTCTGCCTCAGGTTTTAATGAGCATTATAAAGGTAACAGAGCAAAAACCTACTGGGCAGCAGGAGTTTAATAAGTGGAAAAGAAGCATAACTTGACATTGTTGGTCAAAACAACAATATTCAGTGAAATGTATTACAAGAAGGTAACTTATCATTCTGAGAAGGACAGTCCTCAAAGTATGACAGATGCAGAAACATGAACCTGTCATTCAGGCAAAGCTGACTTGCTAATCCCATTAAAATAAAGATTGAGGGTGCATATGTTTGCTTCCTGTAAATATGTCAGCAAGGTAAACTTTAATGAGAGGGAAAACAACTGTTTATCTTTAGAGGACCTTATCAGCATATGGAGTGAGTAGATGTGACATATGCTGAAAATCAAGACAAGGATTCTAACCAATACAGCAATCAGAATACAAGCACAAAATTTAATTTATTCTAAGATATAACTCAATCATTTATAAAGGGAATTGACATATCAGTTTACACTACAAGAAAATGGGTTTCAACACAGGAGTTCCCCTGAGTATAATCTGACTGCAATTTTAATTATGTTCAGAATTTTTAATCTAAGAAAGGGTAGTTAGGAAAATAACTTTTTCAGAAAGTTTTTTACATCTTTTTCAGTTTTAATTCTACATTTGCTTTCTGTTTGGCTTAGCTCTGATTCCTGGCTGTAAATTTAAGAACAGCATTCTACTAAGCCCATAAGAAAAAAAGTTACAGCTCATGAGGTAAGAGCTGACAATGATAAGGCTCACCCTCTTTAATTACAATTAACAACTACAATGTGATTTTAAAGAAACAGGTGTTTTAGTACCAAAAGCTCAATTGTATTCATTGAGGAACCAGAGGGAGAGGAACTGTAGAGAACCAGAATTAAGATTATACATTTAATGTATAACGTTATGTAGGTTCCACATTCCTCTTTATTGCAGGTGGGCTAAAAATCTCATGTTTCCTCTAAGTCATCTGTGGGGTTTTGGTGATAGGAGCTGTGGAGCTCCACTGTGAACAGAACAATCCAGCACATCTTACCTGTCTGATCTTGTTCCCAGGCAGTCAAACAGGACAAGGAAAACCAGCAGTGGCTCCTGATCCTGTGTATGTTTACTGAGCCTTGCATGATATTTAGTGGGGGGTTTATAATTGCTTTGAAAAATCTCTAAAATTTGTTGTTGTTTTTGCAATGAACCATCTCTGTGTGCTTTTTTGTAAATCAGTCTCCTTCTTTCTTCATTTCAAGCCCTGAACAAACTACTCAAACCTTTTAATAGGGACAGAGGAGCTACAGCTGTAGTATGTGTGGTCCCATATATGCACATGTATAGATACAAGTATTGATTGCAAATGCTGACTGAGCTATAAGCGCTGGTTTCTGAGATTAGTTGAATAGTGGGATTTCAGCACAGAATTATATGTTACAGCAAAATGGACAAACATACTGTGCCATTTCACTGTTGTAATGGGGTCTCAGCCCACTCAAGGGTGTTGAATTGGTAGGATTAGAATTAATTTTATGATACCATACTTGTAGTCTTGTCTGCCCATCTCACTAAAAATAGTGCAGCTGCATGATGTGATGAACTGCTGTTAAGGTCTGCAGGCACCCAAGTGTGATCCATCTACCCTGTTTTACAATGGAGAGAGTCCCTGGTTTCTGTATTTCACTAGGAGATGTGGGTTTTTTTACAGTTTCCTGCATCAGTAGCTCCTAAACTGCCCCTGAAAATAAGATTCTTTGCTTTCCTCTGGATACTCAGGGTCAGCAATCTGTGATTCTAAAGGATGTCAGTGTCCTATTATCTTGATTTTTTTTTTACAGTAACCATACTTCTATAACAGCTTTATCCTATATTAAGAAGTTACTTGGTTTAATTGAAGCCAAATGAAGGCACAAACAAATCCTACCTATTTACAAAATTAGTTAAAAGAGTTTAAAAGGTTTATTAAGAATCAGGTGTCCAAAAATTAGATGATGGCCACAGATGGGGTGGATTTAGGATGCAGTTTCAGTAACATCAACTTAATCTGGTTTTGTGCAGGAAGTGGATGAAATTTTAAGGATCTGAGTTTTTATTGTCATGTTAATTAAAGTAAAATGGCTAAATTTTCCTGATGTCTTTAATCTGTGAAAATTTTGTCTTCTTCCTAAACTCAGAGTATTTTGAGTTTAAGATACACATGCGACATTTTCAGAGGATGAAATTAGGTATTTAGAAGTCTGAATTATTTTGTAACATATTATCGCTTTCTGATACTGACATGCAAGAGGGGAATGTTATGCTGTTTTGGTTTAGTAATGATCCAGTTGAGTATTTTAAATTACTTTTAACAGCTTACACAGTCCAGAATACCTGCAGACATGTATGTGAATTTATAGATTTGCTATTTACATGATTGCTTCCTACTTAAGGTGCATCTGTAGAATGCTTTTGTGACTATCGGGCAAGGAGAGAAGCTGATTCCCTCCTCTGTCTTCAGCATAAATATTTGGTTTGGAGATGCTAAAGTTCAAGTACAATTAGGTAGTAAGTGGCTCTTTCAGATTTCTGATTGCATTCATTAGTTAGGCATCTCTATTAAAGATTTATGTAGCTCAGGGCTCTTGAAGTCTTCTGTGTGAATACTTTATTTTCTTTCCTCTCCTTTGAATCTCATTTTATTGTTACTGAGTTTCCGGATGGCCAAGTCTGATCATATATGGAAATTTTTTTTCATTCAGAAGAAGATGCTTCCACTTGCAAAACAGAGGAGGATGGCTCCTAGCACGTTCTTTAGAGTTATGAGAACAGTCTTTCCTCGGGTTTACTGTAAGATCAAATGCAATATTATTAATTTTACTGAATGACTTACTTGAAAGGCTTCATAAGCTACTTAAAATTGGATAAAGCTCAGCACAGAATAAGTAATTCCAGATCATATTTTTAAATGCTGGATTTGTTTCACATTCCTTTACAGGCAAACTATTCCCTACATTCAGAGTGTATTTACCACACCAAGACCATCAAAAATAGGGTGGATCAGGGTGGGCTTTGTAGTCTGAATAGCTAAACTACTTTTCCTTCCTCATACCTCTTTCTGTTAATTGCTTGGACAATGAGTGTATATGGTTGTAAACTTCTCTCACAGCTGAAAAGGTGCCTCTTCGAATGATTGGAATCTGGTTATTCCATCCTTGTCCAGTTATGAAACCCTAGCCTTTCAGGAGTCTACTAAATTTAATGTAGCACCTGAGTGGGAAGGTATGCAAACTTGAGTGCAAGCAAAGACCTTTTTCAGTTTATTTTTAAGTAGCAGTGCACTGTGCACTGCTTCTTAAAAATGTGATAAAATAGTGAATTACACTGTACTTTCAAACCTTAAATCTATTCTATGAAGTGTTGATTATCTCTCCATTTACAATGTAATGTGTGGTTGAGACCCATTTGACTCAGAATTAATTCTTGAGCCTTCCTTGTATTAGAGCAGAAATTTTTCCCAGTGTTTTTCTAGACGTATCCAGTGGGAACAACTGAAGTTATATTTGGAGTTAAAAGGATTGTTGTCCTTGAATTCTTGAATAAAAGAAGTACATTGACACTAATTTCATGGGTGAAAAAGCTTTGCTGCTCATTATCTCTTTTCAGGATACAGTAGGATAAGAAATGAAGCACTATAATTGAAGTCAATCAAGGAGAAAAGAAATCATCTCCACAGCATTGCAGCCGTGAAGCTGCTTTTAGCCATCGATTGCTGGGGATGCTGAGATCTGTGTGCTCAGGGCTGCTGCTCACAGAGTGTTCCTTTTACACATCAACAAGCTGATTTTGCTTCTTTCATCGTATATTGGCTAAGGTCTCAAAAGTGTCAAGAACCTCAAAGACTACAAATCTTTTATTTCCACAGGAAAATAATCTATTCAGCCAGCAAAATGTGAGTGTGTTGTAGAGAGACCTGTCAGCTCAGTACTGTTGAGCAGACCTGAACTCATAAAATGAAATGGATGTACTTCGTGTCTTTCTAGAGCAAAACAGATTTAAATACAGTTTCTCAATTCTGTGTAAGCAGAACAGCTGATTCATTTTCTATATAGTACTTGGCAGAGTGAATATTTTGAGGTAATTGTGCTTCATCTGTGTGGTGTGGTCTGTACTGAGTGACAAATTCTGTGCTTTGATGTTCATGCGCGTAACTTAATTTTCAGTAGTTTATTGCTATGATAGGAAGAAGCGAGAGAGTGACTAAATATTTACCAAAGTCTGTATTTGAGTTGAATTTTGAAGATGTCCAGATATTCCTGGTTTAGCCTGGCTTACTTGATGGTTTTCAAAGATAACGGATATTAGAGACAAATGCAGTTATAAATTGGTTTCTAAGCTGAAGGAGCTCTGTGGGTGTGGCCCACCATTAGAGTGAAGTTTTGCTATTCCAGTTTTGCTTTGTGTTTGCTGTGATAGGAAGTACAAATGATGTTCTGAAGGACAGAATTTCAGGAGGGTGAACACACGTGCAGTGAGTGTTCATTGGTTATAAAGGACCAGCTCTGCTAGTGCACCCATCACTGGCTGATGGGATTTGTGCCATTGTCATTTTTCATTTTAGATTCTATCTCATCTCTTTGCTTCTGTCAGGTAATTGCATGTGCTAACAGCTGTTCTAAATTGCTTTGTTAAATTATTGTTTCTACAGTTGAGTTATCGATGTGGCAATCACCAATTTTTTACTTATTCCAGTTTGATACCATCTGACTGCTTTATCACCCAGCAGTTTGATGGAAAACAAAGAAAATCAGTTTACAGGACAAATTGCTTTTTAAGCTTATTGCAGTATGAGTTTTTAATACTATATTCTCAATTAGTTCTATCTTAAAATTTTTTGAATACAGAATATTAAAATATTACAATTAAACATTCAGATTTTAAATAATATTCAGGTTTTGTAATACATCTATTTTAATTTGTTCTGTAGGATTTTGGACTACACGTTTACAGAACATGCATTTTTATACATTTATGTATTATTTTAATTGTGCTAGTAAAGGAAGAACTGAGGAGCAGTAGCACAAAAACACTGTCAAAAGAATAATAGTGAAAACAGCTTGAATTAGGAAAAGGAAAAAATACCTGTTCTGTCCCTAAGTTAGATATATGGGAAATGACAGTGTGAAGAAGATTTGGGAATGCCCAGGTATCCTTTTGGAACACAACACAAGTCAAAGGTGTCTGTTATTATGGAGGGAAAGCATGATAAACAGTTATGCAGGTGCTGGCACCATTAATTTGGTAATTGTTCAAGTTGTAGTATAAATGGAATACTGCAACCATGAAACCTTGCTTTTTTCACTGTCAGTACTAAATTTTAGTTCTGCTTTTAAGATTTAGTGAGGGACCTACTTGGAAAAATAAGTGGCCACAGAGAAAGAGCTCACAATGCTGTCGGACTGCTGTGCATGTATCTCTGGACTGATCTAGGCATGGTTCCTGGCAATTCTGACAGCTGATTCCACTCTGAAGGGAATTTGTGTCCTCTGCAGCTAGTGAGCTAAGGTGTATGAAGAAAATTGTATATATAACCTGTAGAAGAATAATTTTCCCTAGTACACTATACTTATCAGAACATTAATTATCATATAAACATGCTGAAGAATCAGAGTTTTGTCTTAAAAAAACAAAGACAGCATCTAAGAGAAAATTGTTTCAGCCATTTCTGAGGAGCAGAGAAGTGTATTTCAAACCATTAGAGATTCACATGCTGTGTGTTCTGATTAGTGTTCTGGTAGATGTCAGCTAAAGATCTGTTACTAAAGCTCCCTGATTTTGTATTTAGTACAGATTTCCTGCTCCTTTAGGCACCTATAAATGTGGCTGGCTCTGGCTGGGGCTGTGGGGAGTTATGACTGGCCCTGTTGTGGTTACTGCTTTTTCAGACATTTCCTAAAGGACATCTTAATTGTCATTGTTTGTTCCAGCTGCTGTCTGTAAGCACCTACCCTGTCCTTCTGGCAGTGTGCTTGGCCGTGGAGGGCTTTAGTCCTGCTCACTTTTTATCTATAGCTGAATAAATGAGTGTCATGGATTACCTAATTATTTTTTTACAGGGCACAGGGAGTGAATGGTTAGTGCCTGAGGCTGATTAATCTTTAGGGAGGGTGGGGGGAGTGGGGAGCAAAGGAGGAGAGTGGGTTGTGGCTTGGTTCCTGTTTGAGTTGAAACTGACTTTAGGATAAAAAAGCCAAAACAAATAAAGAAGCAGTCTTGCTTTAAGACTATCTAGTGGTGGTGAGGCCTCCACAGTCATTGCTCAATTATTACTGTCTCTGTTAATACTTTAGACTTGCAATGTTTTACATGTCTGCTCCTTATTGATCTTTATGAAATACATTAAAAACTCTGCATCCCTGCATTTGGCATTTTCTAGTTGTACCTTCACCTTCAAAGATACTGTAGCAGGAAGAGGAACTGTGTGCTTAGCCTGGAAAGGAGTGTGTGGAAAGAGGCTGCTGTTCCTGTGGGCAGTAATCCCTGCCCTACACCAAAAGCATAAACAAACGGAGCACAGCTGTCCCAGTGTGCCAAGGATGAATGTAGCCTGCAAGGCACAAGAAATAATCCTCACACTGGAGTCAGTGTTTGGAAGATCTTCAGCTGTGCCTAGTTTAGGATTCTGCATTTAAGGAAAAATGTGGGTCCAGGTGAGGTGAAATAAATCAGATTAATGAAAACGATTGGAGGCCTAGAAAGTTGATTTCAGTTGAGAATTGGAGAAAATGGTGTTAATATGTCATGCAGTGAAGGTGGAAAAGGCTTCAGGAGTGGTAATAGAGTTCAATGGTATAAAAGTCTGCTGTGTAACAGCCTGTTCTCAAGAGCTATGGAAGAAAAGAAGCCATGGGTTTCATTTGTGGGATGGACATAACCAGGGCACTGATGGTAAAAAAAACACTGCTGTGGGGTCTTTAGGAACAGATAAGAGAAACCTCTGTCATGAGACTTAGAGGCACCGTTAAGTCTGTCCTAGCACATATAAAGTTGTTTAAGGGTCTTGGAGATACTTTGTATCCTAATTTAGAACTTTGTTATTTAGCATAAATGGTATGCACTCAGATTGGATAAGTTTTTTGTATTTAAATGGCTGTAGTAGACAGTGGATGATGTTTCTTCCTACTAGGAAATTGTCCTATTTTCTACCTTAGATATTGTCTCTGCCTCAGTGTTCTTTGCCTAGGTTTGCATATGGAAAGCAGTCTGCTTCTTTGGCCACTGTTAACTAAGTGGGTCTCCAGGGATCACTTTGCCTGTTTACCTCCATTTGAATGCTCTAGTGGGTCTGTATGACTTTGAGTGCATCACCTTTTGTAAGTGACTTAGTGGCCTTTCCAGTATTTTGCTGTTAGTGCTGATTATTCCTTATTCCCCTGGCTGAGGGGCTGGCCAAGAAGACAGAAAACTACTGACCAGATCAGCCAGAGCAAATCTGGCTCAGTGTAAGTTACTAAATGACTAAAACTTGTTGGCCCATTTAATGTCTGCCTGGTTCCCATTGCTGGCATTTCCATCTTCAAATGAAGGCCACTTGAGGAGCAAGCAATTACAGTGGCAGGGGTAAATCTGCACCTTTCTATACTTCGTTTCAGAACTGTTGGGGAAAACAAAGCAATTTATAGCATAGAAGTTATTTCATGCACTGGCAGTGAATGCAGTACTCCTTTAAAATTAGATCCTATGGAATGTTCTTTGCACAGTGAGTGTTTTTTACTCATGGTATTGTAGCAATTTTAAATTCTCTTTTCATTTGTTCTCACTGCTTTTTCTCAAATGCTTTTACTGGCTATTCAGAGAACTGAGCCACACAGCAGCCACAGCAGCCATGCAGTTTCTGTACAAGGATTGTAGTAGTTTTGAAATGTTGCCAGCACATTGCATTCTTTTAATGTCTTTTCATTGGCTGTGGAGACGTAAATGCAAATCCAGTGATTGGGAAAGAGATGCTTTATTTTTAGTGATACCATTGCTATAAAAATCTTCCATTTTAATTCAAATGTTTATTTTTCTTTATTCTCCTTGTTAAACCAATATTCTGTGCTCTATTTTAAGCTTCTTTTTCTTCAAAAAAAGCAAGCCAACAATATGACCATAAGTCATATTAATAAGACTCAATTCATCGGTAGAAGGTGAAGTATCTAGGTGTGTAATCACTACTTTTTTCTCATATAAAAATATTTCAGATGCATCAAGTTTCTGACACAGGATAAGTCTCTATTTCATACTAGAATTTTTTTAACACACAACCCTACATTTCAGGTTTCAACTACTCAAAGCAATAATATTTCTGCATGTTGTTTTTAATCAGAGGTGTCTTTCATAGGCTCTTTCTTGTGATAGCTGCAGCTTGGAGTCGACCATGAAAGAGTAATTTGTCTTTTTGGGGAAAAAGAAAATTTGAATATCAATATTTCTCAGGAAATATCTACTAGAAAATGTGTTGTGAGAACTGGGAAAGGGAAGATGTTTGTTTCTGTAATTGCTGCCTTTGTGGATTGCTACCTGAAAAGATTACAAGCTAAATGTGTTTTACCCAGTTATTTGGAACCATATTAATCGATAGCCGTTGAGAGTGTTTGTTATCAAATTCCTCAAGCATTTCCTGTCCTTTGTGTCCCTGAGATAAGAGATGATATTCTGCTGATGTCTCTCCGCAGGACCTGTTGTTCAGTGTGTGCGCTCTCAATATCATCTCCACCATTGTCTGTGCTTTGGCAACAGCAATGTGTTGCATGCAGATGGTTTCTTCTGATCTTCTGCAAATGGTGAGTACGTTTCAGTGGCACCACAGGGTTTGTCCAGCCTGACACAGTGTCCTCTCTGTGGGTACTCATTTGCACCTACTCTTTGCTTATAAACTTAAGCCTGTTTGCGTCTCTGTGTAGTGTTAGAATGTGTGTGTACATGGGTGTATTTTTTATCTGCATACATCTGTATAAACATAGCATATAGATGTATGCAGCATGAGGAGCTGCTGTGTTTTACTGTTTATGTATTATAGTCGAGTGGTGTGATCAGGATTTTGCAATTGGGAGTTTCTTTTTGTTAACGAGGTTATTAATGAGGCTTAGTTAAAGATGCACGTTACCTTTGCTGTCATCACTTGTATATTATCTCCAGTTTCCACACTCCCCAGAGCAATTACTTAGCTTTAAGGCCCCAGTTTTCATTACTAGATTGGTATGACAGCTATGGAGTATGAGAAGTATAAGCTCAAAACTGGAACTTTTCTCAGCCCTGTGCCACTAATTGTGTTTTCATAAGGAAAACATGTTCCACCTCAGAGTAGCATTTCTGTTCAAAACAAGAGCGAAAAGGATCATTAGTCTTCTGCATAGTCAGCTGCATCACAGGATGCTGTCTTGTTTTGGTTGGACAAGGGCAGCTTTCCTATGCCAAATGAATGTTGGGATTCACAATATTTCAATGTAAAAGAAAAAAAAAAAAACCAAAATTTTAAAAACCTTTGTATTTTTCAGGCCATTGCTTGTAACCTTGCTCTATTGCTGATTAATCTAGGAAATGTCCTGTTTAATAAGGGAGGGCAAACACACAAACCTAATGCTAGCCATTTGTATATCTTGTATTGGAAAAGTTTGTATAGATGGAAGACTGGCCCAGCAAGTTAGCTGCAAACAACACAGAAATATTGTATAGCCTGCCCATGCAGGCACAGTTGTTTTAAAAATAAATAATTAGAAATACACTGGGTGCCATGGGTATTGATTTAAGTGCATCAATTATGGAGATAAGACTGTCCTTTCTAGACAAGTGTTCCAGACACTGGGTTTCAAACCCAGTTAAGGAATATCTTCAGTCTGGGATCTGGTGTTTGCTTCACATAGTAATGGGTATAATAAGTTAGGCTCATGTGTTTAGGTAATTACTGTGAATAGTACATAAATGCATTTTTGCTGTAGGGTTCTGTGTGTGCATATTGTGCAGGCTTGTAGAGGCTTGTAAACAGTGCTTATTTAATAACACTAGTATGGATGGGAAATAACAGAAATAATAACTTCAGCTGATGACACTTCTATTTTAAATGTTAAAGGGTTTTTATCATATTCTGGGTATTCTTCCTTTTCATACACTCCTCCCCCTCTGTATTTACTACAAGAATGCCCATTGACTAAAGAATTTTTTCACTTTGCAGTGATGATGGGGAGGTGAAGAGAGTATTATACCTTGAAAAATCTGTCTAGTGGAAAAATGGTGGCAGTGATCCAGAAGTGTATATTCCAGAAATCTTGATCTACACTTAATGTTATTTAGCAGTGTCAGAGGAATAAAAATGAATAGTAACAATGAACCAAGACCAATATTAAAGTGCTTCTGATGGGCATATGCAAAAAGCAGTAACCTCAATAGGAAATCAAATTCCTAAAAGCACATAATTTTTCTCTCTCCCACCTCATTCTGGATATCATTAAGATTCTTTCTTTCCCACCTGGCAATGCTGCCATTTCTTGGTTTCATTGTTTATTTCTTTTTGCTTCCTGTTTCCAGCTTTGTCTTCCTGCTAAGTTGTCCGTTCTCCCACCCTTTCAGCTCCATCGACAAGAATTTTCTTCCTTCTTCCCAGAGAAAGGGAAATACATATATATATATATATCTATATTTCTGTTCAATCTCAGTCTTTTCTTGTTTATCAGTTTTTCCCTTTCTTTTTTCAGGTTGCTGAGGCAGATTCCTACCGGGCCTAAGTGAGCGTAACTTCCCTGGGGCTACGCTGACTTAGACCAGCTGAACCCTCACCTGAGGATTTCTTTTTCTTTCACTACTTTCAGCCTATTGTCCCCTGGTCTGCAGTTCCCTTTGCTCTACTACATCCAGAAATCTGATTAACTTCCTTTTCTCTTGTTTGTTGTGCTCGATTTGTGCTTTTTTTCCTTTTACTTTTCACTGATGCATCTTCTTTTAGCTGGGTTGTACCATGTTGGAAGCTTGACAGCAGCAGCAAGAGATACCACTGCTCATAGCTGAAAAGGTTTTAGTCATTGTGAATATGGTTTTATATTCAGTTCTACAGTATGTGAGAGCTATGTAGGCTCTCCTGTAACAAGAAGTGGCAATAGGGAACACCCTCCTTGGATGTCATTAGGTTATCATTAGAGCAATCAGTTCTGTGATTCCTGTACTGTGTTCTTGTCTCAGAAATTAATCCACTGGAATGGTAATTTTTGCGAATTCAAAGAATTCCAATTTATTGCTTAGCAACATAAAGCAGGTGTAACAGTCTCAAGCAAATTTGCAGCAATGATTCTGTGATTTTGTGCTTTGTTGATGACTTTTGCATAGAGGAAGTGTCTTGATTCATACAGGCAAACTGAGGTATTTTACTGGAAGCTGCTGTCTTCTGACATCCCAACCTTTAGGAAAAACATCTTAAAAACAAAAACACAAGCTGTCCAGTAGTAAGCACAGTTTAAATTTTCCAGTGAATTTGAAGAGGAGTTTTTTGGTTTAAAACCAGTCCTACCCTAACAAATGTTTTATTTCAAGTGCTAAGGAAAAAACAATACAGCAAACTACTTCAAAGTGGTTTTATTGCTTTATATTTTTTTTTATATATTTTTTCTGGGTTTTTCCTTGTTTGAGTTGACTGTTTCAGAAAGTACTCAAAAATTTTCATTTCACTTTAACCTTTCTCACTGTGTTAAGTATATGCATTTGCCCAGGCAAAGAAGCCCTACCAGTTGTAAGAAAGCTGCAAGAGAAAGTGATATCATAGCTAAAGATTGAAAAGGCATTTGTTGTGTTTCACTAGAGAGTTTAAGGCTGCACTCCATTACAGGGCTTCCCAGAATTGTTCCTTCTATGTACACACCCCTCCAGGAAATAAATGTGAATCAAATCAGATCATATCGAGGCTCTGTAATGTGAAGAAACCTCTCTTAATAACCAAACTGTCACTTCCATGATATTTCATTTGTTGCCTGAGGCAGTTTCAGTTTGCATCTTGTCTGATGAATGGCTACTGTGGAAATGCACCCTGTTTTCTTCAAAAGGTAGCTGCCTGGACTAAAGTAAGAAATACAAGATATTACGCCCACTGTGGCTGAGCTAAAGCATGAATTACACCTATTCCAGACCTCCTTCCACTCCAGATACGTTTATACACTTCTTATCCTAGAAGTGCTGGCACTGATATCATTGAGTGTATTGATTTTATCACCATCACTGTTAGTAGCTGTTCATGTTGTGTGATACCTAAAACCATCTGTTATTTTGTAAAGAAAATAAGGTAATGATGACACATGCAAGCTGTAGTGTTTAATTACTGTTTTCATCAGTCCTAGGGATAATTCAGCATGTCATTATCTTAATAGGCTGTAGTTAATATTTCTACTCAAGCACCTCACAGAAAGCATCTCTGTATGAGGGTAATACCTTGCTGACATTGTTTAACCCCCATGTTCTGGTGAAATAGTAATTAAAAACACCTGCAGAGTCAAGCTTAGTGAGAATTGATCTTACGTTATTACATACCATTTTTAATCTAATGACATCAAAATGTAAATAATCCTTTTTTGGGCACAAAGTTCACTTACAGGTAAAACCCAGATGACAGTCCTTTTAGAAATATGCATTGGGAATGATGTGCATCCATAGAAAAATCCTAAATGTAAATATGGTTGCATAAATACTCTTCTCGCACCCACCATAAATGCATATTTTGGGTCAGAAATCTTTTGACATTTTTAACAAATGTAGCATTTTTCATCAAATACTTTATCGGTAGAATAATAATATTTAATATTTAAGAATAAAATATCATAAGTGCTTCAAAAAAGGCATCACAGAGCAATGCCCATGAGGCTACAGAGCTAATGGCTTGTGATGGTTGTAGGAACAGCAACTGGGAAAAACTGAGAAAAATCTGAATGTGTTTTCCTTATCGAAATATCTTCTGTCTCGTAATTCCCCTTTAAGATCAGGGATAAATTAGAAGAGTCAACTGTGGTCCTTTTGTTCTTCTAGACAATTAGAGTCTACATTTCCCTTCAGCAGATACTGATTCCAGTGTTTTAGAAAAGGAAAACAGCAACTTGTCCAGGAGGACAGTTAATTGATGACAGAATTATAGACCTGAGTGTATTGCAGAGCTTTTACTCAGGACAACGTGCCAGTATTTAATTATATGCAATTAGAAATTTCTATTTCCCATTCTCAAAAATCAGCAGATCTTTTATAAATGACTGAAATGAGAATAATGAACTCTGGAGTCTCCAAAGGACTGATTTCAGAGTTATACAGTATGTGTAATAAATGTGATATGGAAGACAGAGGTAATTACATGCAGACACAGGAAAAACTCCAGATAAGTTTCCCTTAGAGCACCAGGCACATACTGATATATGGCACTTGTGGTTTAGATAAGCTGTAATTGCTGAGCAGTGGCTCAGCTGTGGCATTTACGTGGGGTCTGTGGTGCTGAGCAGCTGCAGGATGTACAGAGCACAGAATGTCTTTGCTGGTGTTTAGTGGGGCGGTCCCACAGCTGGGAATCCTGGTGCAGAGCTGTTAGTCTCACATGCCTTGGGCAGAAGGATGGACCACATGGTATCACATGAGGCACTCTTTCAACAGAGAATTATATTGACAGGTCTTACCTGCTGTTTCTTCAGTTCTTTAACTGGGTCTCCTCCATCAGCTTTTACCTCAGTGTACTCAAAATATTCAGAACGTGAATAATACATTCTGATCACTTCAGTGACCAACTTACAGACCTTTCAGTGAAGAGCTGGAAATTCAGTCTGACAAAAAGAGAATGAGTTTTACAGTTTTACACATAGCTATGTAATGGTGTTTATTTCACCTGGAAAAGTTAAAAACTGAGAGAGGAGATGTGTTATTCTTCACTGGGCAGGGATAGCTGATGTGTCTGGCTGCAGGCTGTGAGCTGGCAGAGGAGGTCACTGGTGTCCAGCTCCATTGTTGGCTGTGTGGAATTCTCAGTACTGTGTCAGTGGACCCTTGAGCATAATTTTCAAAAACTTCTACCTCTTTTGTAAGTGAGGTACTTCTAGCATTTGTGCTTCTAATTCTCTGCTTCCTGACAACGTACTGCTGCTGCTTTGGCAAACTTCTGTATTGAATGCAGGTCCAAGCAGGGGGTTACAGTGTTTTACAGCTTTCTTGTTTGCCCTGCTGCAACCAGACAGAGAGCATGTTTTACTCTTCCTTCATAACTGCAGACAAAATTTTTTAAAAAGTAGTCCTCACTATGAGGGCTGTTTAAATCAGGCTGTTCCACTCTGTCCAAGTCAGACTGCCCAATGAAAACACACCGAGTTCTGTGGTCAGTGTGTGCTCTGTGCTCCATACCCCTTTAGCACATGCACTGGGCTGTGTAATGCCCATCCAGTATCAGACATGTTTCACACACTAAATTAATGATGAGAAAATACCTGTCTGTGTGAGTGTAATATCTGAATGCCAAGCTTCAAACATAAGGTCAGCTGTTTCCTAAAAGACCATGAATTCCAGATCTGTATTTCATTGCTTGTCAGATTTCTGCATCCAGCAGCTCCAGGAGGGTAACAGAAGTGGTTGAGTTTTCTGGATTTCCACAGCTGTGGGTTTTGTCTTTCTTTCTAGTAAATATGTTTTAAGTATCTGTTGATAGCTATAAATTTTTGCTTAATTTCATGGTGTTAGATATTTAGCATTTACCAGAGATGCTGTATGCTGTTTACCTTTGCAACCATTGCTTCTGCAGTGGCCATTAGTTTAATCCCAGGGCTGGCTGGGAAACCCACTGTGTGAGTTGTTCCATGGTGTGAGCTGTAGTTTTTGACATGATATTGAGTGCAACTTGATCCTGTTTATCCTGGTGACTGAACAGACCACCCCCATTTTCTGCTTGGCAGCTCTTGTTTTGTTGCCTGTCCCATTTGCCATCAGTATCTTGAGACTGATTATTTGATAACAGCTGTCTTCTAATACCAGAAATGTGTGTTCCTGTGTGAAAGTATTTGTCAGTGTTTCTTCAGTTTTCTCAGTTCTTTGCATTTTATTACTGTTTTTTTTTAACCTATGAAATTTGTATTAAGCCTTTGCTGAAACCCTGCCAGACTTCACTATTTGAGACTAACTCTTGAAGATATTTAAAATACATTTTCCTGTACAAAGAATAAGCTTTTTCAGGCTAGCAGAGATCAGTAGACAACATAGTATGGAATAAAATATTACTTAATTTCCACTTACTAGCTTTCAATTGTTTTCTCAAGGATGTCTGTTCTTGGTGGTAATCCCTTATATTTGCTATTGTTTCATTTCCTGCTAGTTTTACTCTTACAGCCTTTTTCACTTTAATTTCTGTGCCTTCCAGCAGGATGATATCACACAGGTAAACTGTTGTTTATAAATACACCAAACATGTGTATTTCCATGTCCATCCTGCTGCTCGTTGTCAAGTGTTGGTCACAGTTCGTTGCCATGGTTTGTATTGCCAGATCTTGAAAGGGGTGCAGATAACTCTGCTGTTCAACTGAGCTGCATCCAAGCAATAGATCTTTTCCTCCTGGAACCACAGCCCCCTCTGCCCTGTGTAAAACCTCTCCCTTCTGTCATGTCCCACAAAGTGTGTGCTGATGGTTCACCTGCTGTGCAAGTGCCCTGTGTTTGATTGCCCTGTTCTGACAGTGGTAAGGGTATCACTCCCAGTATGAGGCTGGATGGATCCAGCTCCAGGGACCTCCAGGACTGAGGGAACAGAGCTACAAGTTTTGTGGTGCAAACCAAAGCTTGGGGTCCATGGCAGTATGGAAACAGTCTGGGAGAAGGTCAAGGAAGTTGTAAATTAAAATAGTTTTGTTTCCAGACTGTAAAATGACCCAAATTATCTACTCTTTTAAGAAAATGACAGCAGTCCTAAGTTTGGTGGAGTCAAACAGTATACAAAATGTGACCCAGCATACTCAGATATTTGTCTTCATTATGATAAATGCTTACAGGTTTTAGGTAATTATATTGATGTTTGTCTTGCTTGCTTTTTTCCTGAAAGATTCTTCCATGTATTTGAGATGGTAACACACCAATGATTGCTTATGATTGCTTAGGGCAGAAGTTTGGAGTTTAATGGTTGGTATTAATGTTGTGTTACACTTTGGGAAATGGCTGATGAAAGATCAGATGAGTTGGGACCAAATGACTGCAAGAAAGTTTTGGTTTATTTCTGAAAGCCAAATAGAGTAATGTCTGATAGTACCTGGGATAACAGCATCCCACCTCACATGGAGGACAAAAGAGCATCAAACATTTCACATGATGAAGAGTAAATCAAACTGATGTCTTTGTTTCTCTGCTGTACCATGAGTAGAATGCAATGGCTGAAAGTCTTTGGCTGTAGGATGTAAGGAAATAACTCATTCTGCAGAGGAGGTTCTTTATTGATAGTTATGTGTGGAAATATCTCTGGAGAGTTGATCAGCGAGCAGCTAGTACTTCATTTTCACAAACAGTTGATACTGGTCCTCCTGACCCTCTGCTGTGCTGTATTATTACAGCTCTGACCTTTGAAACACCATACATAGAGTGAGTTTATAGAACTAAGATGTAACTCAAGCTTTAAAACACAAAAGACCAGTATCATTTTTGTGGTAATGTGAATTCAGCAGAACTGCACTGAATAAAATTTCAAAAAGTGATAAATATAGAACTATGATATTAAAAACAAAGGTAATTTCCTTTGCTGGATCTCCTAAGAATAAACATTTTCCCTTTTATTTTACTGCTTCCTGAATTTTTATCATGGATTTTAACAAACAATAATGTAATGAGCCTACAGTACAAAACCATAGGTTGTCTTGTTCCAGTCTAAAAAAGAAATGTGCCTTCAGCAAAGTTTCTTAGCAGGCTTGTTTTAGAAGGCAGGAGCTAAAGATCAAGTCATCTAGTGATCCAAGAAAAGTTATATAAGAGCAGAAGCTTGCCTGGAAAAGAAAAAATTCTGTGTTTTTGGGTTGTCTTTTAGTTCTCCTTTGATCCATGGGGACCAAATAGAGTCAGGTGTGGGTTGTGGGATCTTCAGGATGGTCCAGATTTGATCTTGGATTAGTTCAGGCCTTACCCAGAACACCTTTGGGTGCTCCTGATATCAATGGTGTTGGAATACCTTCTCTAAATCCCTTCTCTGCTGGAAGCTGATGAAGTTTCTGTCACAAATGTTGATGTGGCTCGCATTATTATTACTTTTTATTGTGCAGTGTAGTTATTTTATTTTGGGTTTTGAGATGTGTATATGGAATAAATGTTTTTGTTACTTTCATACCAGTGCTTATAAGCTTTATACCACATTTAACTGTGCAGTGTCTGTATCACCAAATCACAAACAGCTATTAAGAATATTTCATTTTACAAGAATAATAAAGAATAGCTATAAACAGCCCCTTCATTGGAATTGAAAAATTAGTGGGATATTTCCATCTTTTAAAATTCAAAATATAATATCTACATAGTAGCCTGTTTCTAGGTAGTTTTATTTGGGGTTGTTTTGGTGTTTGGAGTTGGGATTTTTTTCCTCTGTAAGTTCAAGGCAGTCCAGATTGGAAACAAAAACATGCAAATATTTATTTTAGTAGTTATATCTATTTTTCTTAAGTTATTAGAATAGAAATTATTATGTGGGGCTACAACAAAACAATATGCAATGTAGAAATATTTATTGAAAAGCCAATAAATTGTAAATGTCTGTCTGCATCCTAAGGCTGACTGGCTTGGAGGCCCACAGCCTCTCTGTCTTTAGTAAAACCTTGTGCTGTATTTTGGCAATCTGATTCACCTTCCTTACTGATCACAAGAATTCTTATGCTCCCAGAAGTGCTTTTTTAGTTTCAGCTTGGGTATTAATGAATTTGGTATTGGTCAGGGTCGCTAATATTTACCTTTTATTAAAATTGTTAATATTGGAGACAATGATTCTACCATCTGAAGGAACTTTACCTGTTCATTTTCAGTTTCTGCCACAGAGGCCACATTCTGCCAATCCTGACTGCATGACTCCACATGGAACTGTCCTGCACCAAACCCTGGATTTTGATGAGTTCATCCCACCAATCCCCCCCCCTCCCTACTACCCACCGGAGTACACCTGCACGCCCGTGGGGGAGGCACAGAGGTGATTCTCTCTCCCTGCTGTGCACTCAGCACTTGGCTCTGAGTGCAGGCTAGGGAGCTCTTTCAAAGAATACAAAGCCAGATCATGTCCTTCACTTACATTAGGCTCTTCTTTTCCAGAGAGATTACATGTGGTTTTTTGCAAGCTTGTTAGGCTACAGCTGGAAATATTTGTGTTAAAGCACTGCTGCAATAGAGAAATTATTTAACTTAACTAAGGCAAGGATAACAGTGTCTGCGCTTTGAGCAAAGATCCCTTTGTAAGTGATTCATTCACAGTTAACTTTGTGCATTTGAAGTTGAGTATGAAATATAATTTTTTAAGGAAATTATTTCAATTAATGGGTATTCATTTGGACTAGTGGAGGACATTATGGCAAAACAGGCTGGTAAAGATGTTAAAGCTACCCTGTGAACCAGGGCTTCATTTTGGATGTCTAATAAATTTCTTGAATGTAATTCTTTGTAGTGTATTGGCTTTGAATTCAAAGAAGTCTTTACATCACTGTGGTATAGGTAATAAATCAATGCCATTTCTTAATTGTTTATTTGTTTATGTTTTTATGTAGAAATCTCCATTTGGACTTCCCTCATTCCCCATTTGGTGCTTTATATGAAGTAACCATTAATAGCCCAGGAATGCTGTATCCAAGTGAGTTGCCCCCTCCTTATGAGGCAGTGATTGGAGAGATGCCTGCCAGCCAGGTGAGGAAAACCAAAGGAAATTCTTTATGTGGTCTTCAAATTTTCATGGTGCAAAATAATTCTAGATAAAATTTAAAGAACAATCATCATAAAATATTTCTGTTCTTTAAAAACATTTTCCAGACCATTTTCTTTATAAGGGTTAGCTAACAAATTTTACTTCCTGTGCAACAGCAGTGAGTGATTCTCTGTTGCTTAACGTTCTGATTGTTAGTTTTTAGTAAGCAGCTTCTGCTGTTAATGTGGCAAGAAACTGCTGCTCGTGAGAGTGCAGAACACTTTACCCTGAACTTGAAGAAAGGATCCAGTGTGCTTGAGACAAATATTGATGTTACACTTTTTTTGCTTTATTCTCTACTGTACAGTATTGACTGAGCTGAAACTGGAATTATTATGTGTCTGCATGTGCAGCCAGAGCTGATTCCAGCATTTCCTTGAAGGGATTTTTGGTAATTAAATCAGCTGTCACAAAGAGAAAATATTTACAGTTGCTGTTAGAAGCTCTAATTTCTTTCAGGCTCCAGTAAAAACTCATGGAGTCAAACATTCTAGGTATTCTTTATCAGTTGTTAATAGCACACTGAGGAAATACCTGTGTTCAGGTTTCCAAATTGCATCCACATTACAGAGGTGACTACTTTGCCTTTCCCCAAAATAAAACATTGAAATATTTTCTAGTGACTTATTTCCATGTTGGGGGAACCAGAATTGAAACCACAAGCCTAAAGAAATGATACAAATTTTAACTTATTATACACAAGATAATTAAGATAATTAATAAGACAAGTGTCTCAGAAAAAAGCATGTTGAAATGCAAAACCTCCAACAAAAATGCAATTAAATCTCCCCAAGATTTGCCTGTCTTTGTAGCTTCTGTGACTGACAAAGCAGCTTCTGACAGATCTTCTGATCTTTGCCTTGTACTATGTCCTCTACCCAACACAACAAATTGGCCAAACATTGCATTACTTTTGATTTGTTTGGCTATAATAAAATGAAATTGTATAAACCTGCTTGTGAGTGAAGTTCCTTGCTGAACAGCAAAATTGGAGTTTTCAAGGCCATCTCCTTCTAGAATATTTTTTATCCAGGTTCCATCCTTTTTCTTTGGCCGTAACTCAGATGAACCTGCAAGCCTTGGAGAAGTCAATATTCAGTGAAAAAAAAGTGGACAAAAGTGATGTGAATCATGCATGGTTTGGGGGGAAAGAGAAGACTCCTATCTGTGATAAGAATTCATAGGTGCTACTAAGTAAGGATTATTAAGTGTCTATTTTTAGTAAAGCACAAAATCAATTTGAGCACTCTGGTGGCTGGTACCAGTCTCGGTGTGAGCATCAACATGCAACAGCACAATAGCACCAGCATGTAACAAAAATCCTTTTAACAAGATGTGACTTAAAGCTCCAAAGTCATGCTCTTGCAAGAAGAGCTTGGCTTTAATAAGCAGATGTATTCACTGCTAATTTTTGGCATCTGGAGTCAGTTTCAGCACCTTGCCTGTTCACCTCTGGCCACCTGAGCTCCAGAGGTGTTTGGTCTAATCACCAGTGAAGATGAGTGGTGACTTCATTGCTAATAGTGATAATTATATAGTTTCTTACCAGGAGTGAGTTTATAGTTGGTAGTTGCTGTTCAGAGAGCTTGTGACGGGCTCTGTGTCTCAGCACTGAAACTCACTGGCAGCAATAACCAAAGCCTACAGTGACAGCCACAGATTTTTTTTGACAACAAAAGCCTTCATGTATTTTTTGCAATTAGTGTCCCAGCTGAGCTGTCTAAGACAGTTTTGGGTCTACAAGAAGAACAAAATGGAGACCCGAGTCCTTACATGCTGCAAATGCTCCCATAGAGCACAGTACAGTAGGAACTGAAATAATGAGATTTATAAATCCCTTAAAGGCAGGCTTGGCAATGGAAATCCTGTCAGGGATTTAACTACAAAAGTGCTTCTGGGAACCATTATGTAATAATGTCATAATTGTAAAACCTTTTACTGTGCATCAAGCAATAGGTTTTATTTGTTTTTAAATGGATTGAGGTTCTTAGAATTTTATTAAATTGAACTAAATTAGACTCGGTATTTCATGCATTTTATGGGCAACAAATGTCAGTGCTAATTTGAGAGGTTGCATCCATGTAAAAATTGCTGTTGTCATCTGTACTGATTAGGAATTCCCAGTTCATGACTGTAAAAAAAAAGTGGTTTTCAGTGTTTTCCATGCAAAGTATTGACTGGAATATAGAAAATATAAGAAAAAACAGATCAGGATTCTGGGTGAACTAAATCAATGACAGTGTTTTATAAGGTTTTCTAACCTGTAGGCTCTGCAGACTTGTTAAAAGCACAGGTTTTCTTCCCTTTTTCTATTGATGGCTTAGTGACTGTCTGAGGATGTGGAATTCAATAAGGTTTTGTTACCCTTGGCTGTGCAGCAACCTGTGTGAAACCATGAGCTGTTCCTGTGTGAACCACAACTCTGACCTGGCTTCAAAATTGTCAGTGGTACCTGCTGCAATTAAAACCCTGGTTCTCCTTCCCCCAAGCAAAGAGGGTTAATCAGTTCCAAATACATTCAGCAATTATTCAGAGACAATGTAGAGTGTCAATAAATATTTCAGCACAAATTTTCCACAGATGTTTTCCAGTCAGTGATTAAGTAATTAAGTCAGTGATTATGAAAGTGCCTAGATTAAGAATTTATGAAAGCCCCTGGAATCCCTAGATTTTTAGAAAGAAACAATCACCTTTAAAACATTATACCATTTCTTTGAAAAGGTAGTCAGTCTGAGTTTTCTACAACAAAGAGCATTTGTGAACATTGCTTACTTTTCTAGTTAGTTCCCAGAACTTCCACAGTTAGATCCCAGGAACAATCTGTGACTTCAAGTGACACAACATTTTACTTTTTATCATGGATGTGATACTCTGCTACCATCAAGAAAGTTAAGAAATTTCTATGGGAATTGTTTAAAAATATGAGTGATCTCACTTTTGCTTCCCAGTCCTCTATTCATCTCTTGCTGAGTTAAAGTATTTCTGGTCCAGTTCTTTCCTTGGAGTTGTGTTTGCTCAACCTTCAAATGATTTTTAAAAACAAAATTTGTATCAAAAGAAACTTTCTGATCACAGGATTATAGTGATAGATATAAATAAAACAGTGAGCACAGTAAGTTATGCACACATATGTGTGCTTTTATCTACACTGGCATTTGAAATGGAAGCTTTTGCCCTAATAGCTTCAGACTAATTGTGTCACATCCAATTTTTTTTTTGCCGGTTCCCCTTTAGTTGTTTGCCAAAAGGTTTGCACAGAGGTGACTGATGCTGATTTCTAGACTGTCACCAACCATAATAAGTTCTACTAGTTAATTGTGGCCCTACAGACAGAAAAAGATACGATGCTTTCTACTCAAGATGGTATCAATTTCATTCCTTTCAACCTTTATTGAGTTTTTTTCTTATTTTTTGTTACTAGCTATTTATTGGAATAATTTCTTTAGATAATCCTGAAGAACTGCTAAAAATCTATCAATATTGGCAACAAGGTCCAATCCAAAGTCTAATCAAAAGTAGAAAGAAAATTTCCTAAATTTCAGGTATTTATGGATCCAGTGTTTCCAGCAGGAATGACTCTATATCATGTTCACATGATTCTCAAAAGTGAAGGGAAGTTACCCCCTTATATCCACCCTTTCAGAAAAAAGGTGAGTGGTAATACTATCTCCATTCAGCAATCTCCACCAGGCTGGAGAGCACCTGGGTGGCAATGATGTTATAGGGCTTCAAAACACATTAACACTTAACATCCTCACAAATAACAAAGGGAAAATACTGCTCTTGTGCTTGTTTTTGTGGTTTCTGGTTTTCTCTCTCCTATGTTAGGGTGATAAGATGTGGTGAACAAAAAAAAAACCAAAAAAGCAAGCACAATATGAGAAACACAGACTGTAGAAAGAGAGATTGCTTTTACTAAACTCAGATATTAACTTTAGTAGTGTGAGCCTGCAGCCCCAAGTGCCTGTGAACTCAAGATGAATTTACCTTGTAGATTCTTGAAAAATGTAAAATTGCATTGAGAATTTGCTTTTGCCCTGCATTTGCTCCTGACCCAAAGATGTAAAATACTTTAAATAGCTTTCAGTCTGAATAACAGCTCATATGAAAGCGACTCAGCATTGTCATGTGTGTCCTTCGGGTCCTGAGCACTACACTTTGGTGAGTTGCAGGTTAATGAGCTTTTTCATTCCAAATGTTCATTTAGGTCACTGGTGCTGCTCAGCAAGTGTCTGCATCGAGCCTGGGAGAGAGGAACACGACCCCGGACTTTAGCACACAAGGTGATTGTGACTTTACATTTGTCTCCTTGGAGATGGAAGTGGGAGTTTTGAGCAGACTTTCTCTTCTCTTTTGCTCTTCCTAATGGTGGAAGAATCATTTGCTTTCAGTATTCATGGCAAGAAGGACCTTTTCACAGTCAGAGGCTGGGGGTGGAAGTGCAGAGGAGAGTTTTGCTAGACAAAGCAAGCTCTAGTTAGGTCCTTTGAGGTGGATCTGGTGACTGTAGTTTCTCTTCGAAGAGTCCTGCACATTCCTTGCAGCTTGTGTCTCATTGTCAGCACCCATGGGTGGCTTCCTGACCCTTTAACTCCTCCAAAGAGTAGTTTTCTCCATGGCTTCCAGGAGCCTGAATAGGAAGCTTGCTGCCTGAAGCAAAGATGCTGGGGATGCAAATAGATGAGGAGCAGTACAGGGCACCTGTTCATTTGAAGTTGAAAAGTCAGTATCAAGAGCAGCACAAAAATGTCTTTGCTGAAGGACACTAGAAAGAAGTCTATTACTTCAGTGGTTTTTGGTTTGGCCTTCTTCATTTGAGAGCTTTTGAGATTTTATTGATAAAAGAACTTGCAGATTGCCAAATCTAAGTCAGTCTACAGAACACTGGGAGGGAGATGATTGGGAGGGCAGGCAAGAAGTTTTTATTTTTCTCCGAATCTCTTGTTTTGCAGTTTCTGTTGAGAGCACCTCTTTGATGGTCTCTGAGGCTGTTGATATTCCAGACCGTAGCTACTCCTCTGAAGATCTTTGTTCACTGGAAGTTCAAGGATCTCTCCAATCTGCAGATCTTTCTCCCTACTGCATAACCCCTAAGGGGGTTGCAAACCAGAGCTGCAGTGCCCTGGATTGCCACACTCACTGCAGGTTTCACAGAACTCGCTCAGAGGCCTTTCCTGATGAGGGTGACAGTTCCCACAGCCGAGCCTCTACAGACTGGTCTCAAGGACAGGAAAAGAACTGTGCCCACAGCAGGTCCTTGGACTGTTCCTCAGGGAATTACAGCCCCTCAGAACGAGAACTGCAGAGTTCTGCTCAAGAGAGCAGTGCCACACCACCTTTGAAGCAGAAGAAAACCTGCTGTGTGGACTTTCACCGGCCTCCTGCCGCTTTCCAGACCTCTCCCTGTTTTGGGCCTGCAAATGCTTCACCACGTGCAGGTGGCCCCGAGGCTGCTGCCCAGCCCCAGCACCTCCCAAAGCACCCAGCCTCAACCATCGTCCGCTCCAGCAGTGCCCCTGTGTCCTGCTCGTCTGCCACTGAAGGTAGGTGTGGGAGCACAGGGCAGCAAACCTGGAGCAAAGTACTGCTGTTGATTTGTGCAGCAATTGGTGCTGCTGGAAATTATATGCAGCGTTCCAGAGAGGCTTTCTTAGGTGTGAAGGCTTTAGCTCCATGCATATTTTGTACATTTGAAAATTTTTAAGAATAGAAATGAAAAAATTGACAGAGTGAAGTTAATTTTAGATTTTCTAAATTTCACCATTATTTCTGTACTGCTCAGAAAACCATGTGTTGAGTAGTTTTCCCCACCTTTCTGTTACTGTTCTACTGAGAGCCTAAATGAAGAAGTGCAATGGCAACTGGGGTTTATTTAGGAAACTATTACTGGAGCTGTCACGCTTGTTGTATAGCAGGATGTGTTTCTTCAAGGTGACACTGACATTGGCAGTATTGGGGCATGTCAGAGGCAGTCACTGTGACTAGTGGCAACTTGAGGTGTATGGTGATACGTTTTGAAGGACAAAGAAATGAACATGAGGCACATGACAAGATGATAAAGGAAAAGGAAAGCTTTTGGCTGTCGTGGAGGTGTCTTCTATGAATCTCCTTTTAGAAAAGTAGGGAAGAGAAGAGGAGATGTTAGCTGAACAGTGTGGCTTCATAAAAATATCCTTGTTAGTGAAAAAGAAAGGGTTGATTTAAGTAGAGAATAATAGCAGGAATGTAGAACTGTCTACTATTTGAATGGGATCTAAGCTGTTTAGAGAGATTCAGAAGGGTAACCTGGAGAAGTGGCTTGAAAGTGAAGATTAAAAGCTTTTTAAGATGTCATGGGTTGTGCTGCCACAAGATCTGTTCACCAGGCTTTCTAAGGGATCTAGAGCAAGAATCATGTGACTAACCCAGAGCAAAAGGAGACAAAATATTGAAATAACTGATTTCATTTAGGATGATGTTTTGGTTCTGTTGCACTTCTTGCATCTTTATAATATCATTTCAGAGACTTCATGCTTAGCTCAGTAATTGAATGTCTTTTACCTTTAGAAATGTCTAAGCCTCTGCATTTGAGCCAGGAAAAGTGAATCTTTAATCTAGAAGTCTGCATTTATTTTATGACATTTACTCTGCTAGGACATATGTGCAATGAAGCTGCCAGTAAGCAGACAGTAAGTAGGAATTTCTGAATCCTTTCTGCTGTGGAAGTCAAGAACAACCCTTTCTCTTCTGGATCAGGCTCTGCAGCTCCCAGAGCTGTGCTCCATGTGTTTGCCATGGGCAGCCAGCTCTGGACACCTGCTGGAACAGATGCCCTGCCTTCTTTTCTCACGTGTCCTAAATACATTCTTCATTTCTTCTAGTAAAGTGGCATGGAGGGACACAAGTTGGACATTACTGAGATGTAACTGGGCTTAGCAGAGACTGGAGTAAAGAGGGAGAGAAAGTTCTAGAGATACTGACACACAGGGGAGGGGGAGCAAGAGCAGTGAGTCAGAGGGGCTGGATGCTGACCTACTTTGCTGCCTACAGGAGACACTTCCTAATGAAATCCTTCAGGGAAGGATTGACCTGAGTCTCTAGTTAAGCCTAGATGTATTTCTTCATACATTTGTTTGGCAAATTGGTTTGCAATATTTTGCTCTGTGCCTTTTGCCTGTAAAGTTTGTCATGGCAAAAGTGGAAAAAATCAACTCCTAGCACAGACATTTATTACAATAAACTTCATTTATAATCAGCTATGATAGACTATGTGGCTGTATCAGTTAAGTGCCTGAGTGATTATTGTAGTGTTTGTGTTCCAGATAATTCAGGGTCATGTCCAGTGGTGTAGTTTTGACTTGCTGCAAATAGATTAAACACTTTAGTAATGGATGGGAAGACGGAACCTCTGAAGTGTCTCCTCTTAATAACCATGCCATGATTCATGTGCTGCAGTACTTAAGCATAATAGAACAAATTAAAGACAGACTAGAAGCTGTCTCTCTTAATTTCTTACAGATTTGCTGTGTTTTTAGCATCTTACATTGTTTCCTTCATTTAATTATTCACTCCACCGGAGAGGATTATGCCAGCTTTTCATTATAAACTGTCCCTGGAGATATGGAATAAAACCTCTCCTATGCTACCTAGAAGTTCAAAACCATTTTCAATTTTGGAAACAGATTAACAACCAAATGTAAGGGTTTATTCCATCTTGTCACAAATGAAAAAGACTGCAGGTGGTAGCTACTGTACAGTGTGATCTCATCATCATTGATCCTTGTGCTGGAATCCCAGAAACTGTCATTAGATGGCATCCAAATCTGGTTTTAGATGCTTCATAACCACTTGTTATTGATTGGCTCATCAGGTACCATCCTGCTCAAACTACCCATTAATTTAAACAATGGTGTACTACATTTGCACTGAAAATGATGATAATATATTTTTAAAAGGAGGAGAAATGTTGACTAAAATGCTGGGTTTGTAGAAATGAGAGGGAATAATTTTTCTCGTTTTTCCCATTTTCCCATATAAACTCTGTCCACCCAGGAAATACAGAATAGGTCTGAGGTCTGCCTCTTTAGGGAGCTTGCCATAGTTTCAGCACTTAGGCCTGAAATATTTAGGATTACAGAGGAAGCCTTCCTGTTTGTGTAACAACTCATAAGGCATTTCTGGGTGTAGTAGCTTCTCTTTATGAATGGACATTTTGCAAGCAGTATTTCTTCTAAGTAGTTTCATTCTGTAAAGGATATAATAAACGGTTCCAGTGTATTTTTCCTTGCTTTGGGCAGAGGACAGCAGGGGTTGACTTTGCTCTTTCTGTCTGCCTTTGGTTAAAGGTGATAATTGTGCCTGGACTTCTGTGTGCAGGCAGTGCCAAGATGCAGGATTATCTCCAGCTACAGGAGAAACAGGTGAGAATTGGTTTTCTAAAGCAGAAGATGGGTTTCCTTATTTTCTTCTAAAAATAATAAAAAGTTTCTGAGAGAGAAATGAGCTTTAAGAACTCTGGGGCAGAAAAGACAGTTAACAGCATACATGTATGGTGTACAATGCTGATGGAACCTGCCTTGAATGAAAATCAATCCTTTGAATTAGGTCCTCTCGTTTAGATCAGCATTTTTGCTTTCTCTGTGTTTCTCACTAGTCTCTCTTGCATATAATTTCCAAGGCCTAGAAATAGGCAGAACTTTAGTCTTAAAGTTGGGGTGAGGGACTGGGCCTAAAACTTTGAGTTACATGTACACAAACAGAGTAGCTGGTGAGTTTCCTTATCATTAAAGTCAGCTGAAGTCCTTGAAGGTGGAGGTAACAAAAATGTCTGGTTTGTGCAGTACTTTCATTACTCACACACTCATTCTCAGGGCAGTCCTCCTTGGCTATGGGAAGGTCTTACTCCTGATTGCCCCTAGTTACTCCTGGTTAAAATTACCCAATTTGTAGTATTTCCTTGACTGCATGTTTTTGCTACTCTTCAAACACCACAGACATTTTATGACAATGTAGAAACTTTGTGACAGTATTTGTTTTGCCTTTTTTTCTTTTCTCTTTTTCTTTTTTTAAACTATTACTTTAAAGATATTCTTCCCCCCCTTTTTTAGTTCCTGTCTCTGGTTCTCATATGGCTGCCTCAGCTTGTCAGCATTCTTTGTGCAGTTTTCTACCAACTGGAAAACAGAGGGATTCAAGGAAAATTGATCTGCACCTAAAGCCAAAGGCTTTTCATACGGTCTCGAAAGAGCGGCCACACTCCTTAGTGGACCTTAAGGCCTATAAAGACACAAAAATTTTAGTGGCAAAATTTTTGGAACATTCAAACTGTAATCTCCCTCCAGAAGTGCGTCACGTAGTGAACAGCATACGGTCAGTCATTAAATCTGATGAGAGACACATGGAAGAAGCCATCTTCAGTGCCAATATCATAGACCAGGTAGGCCACTGATGTTCTAAAGATGTGTCCAGTTTCCATAGACAAATACCTAATTTAAATGTTTTTGCAGTTTAAGTTCTTCAGACAATTCCTATGGAAACTCTTTCATATTACATGGCATTAGTAAGAAATAATTTCTATTTATTGGGCAGCAATACATGTTACACTGCAGTTCAGACAGAAAGCCTGGCTGTGCTTTCCTGGTGCCCAGTCCTGAGCACTGACGAGCTGCAAGGACAGAAGTGGGAGGCATTCTGGAGGGGTTGAACCTCCTTTGGAAGAGTTGCAGTGTTAGACAGCTTAAATGAAATACTCTTCAGAGACTGAACCTTTTAAACGAGAGCTGTTCTTACCCTGTTTTCCCCATTCTTTCCTGCTCTGCTGCTGCCTTTCCCGCAGGTGATGACGAGCTCCCAGCAGGACGCGGGCAGCTGCGGGAAGCGGCTGCAGGATCTGCACCTGCAGAGCTGCGGCGCGCTGAGCTCCGCCGCGGCCGCGGCGCCCCGGCTCGGCCGTGCCCTGCAGCGGGAGCGGCCGCACAGCCTGATCGGCGTGTGCCGGGAAACCATCCTCTGAGGGTGCCACAGGTATGTCATGGCAGCACAGAGCTGTGGAAGAAACCAGGATGGGAGAAACACAACTAGCGGATGACTTTGAAAGGAAAAAGTGTCTTCCTTTGGAATTCCACTTTTTTCCCCACAGCAGGATGAGAACAGCTGTTTTTCTGAATGTAAATTTCAGCCTTGATTTTTGCAAACTTTTGATTTATTAGTGAAGTCATAACAAGTGTTTTCCCAACCAGAAATGCATTTATTTCACTGTACTTACAGAAATGCTACTGATGCTGCCCAGCATTTCTTGAAAACCATTGCAAACCCACCAGAGACTGGCTGTACAACTTAAAAGTTGTATTTATTTAATGTACCTCAAAGTGTTTTAACTATCGTCAGTGTTTTAATAAAAAAGTATTTCTGGACTTTGCCTTTTCAACAACTGATTTGGATACAAACATAAAGGTGATTTATACACACATACAGTGCTGCTTCTAATCTGTTCTTCCAGTTTCTTTCATTCCAGACTAACTGATCTGTCCAATTAAAACTGCTCCCCCCTCCCAGGGCTGCCCTTTTAAACTCCAGTACTTGCTGCAATGTGGTTTATTCCTGCTCTGTTCTGAATGTTCACCAGTTCAGTCCTGCAGTAGCCTGAGCGACCAAGAACTGACGTTAAATCCTCTGCAGCGTGACCAAAAGATGCATTAGGGAAGATGACTGAAATTCTGCATTTCCAAAAGCATCTTTCACAAACTTTTTATCAACACCAGCTAATAGGAAATTAGAGGAATTTTTATCTAGCAGAGCCTTGAGTATTTTCAAAAAGAAGTGTTACTCCAATTCATAGTTTTGACAATTTTATTATTAAAACATGTTATTGTGGTTCTGCTGTGTTTATGATTTATTTAACATTGATCTTTAAAAAAATACCAAAAAGTAAATATTGACACTGATTTCATTACCAGCATAAACACAGGTCTGCCAGCAACATCTTCCAGTGCAAGCTTCATCCTGGCTCTTTCAGAGGAATTGGTAAAGCCTTAAACAAAAGGTTCTCATAAAGAACCTACCACAGGTTGATGTTTCAGGATTTTAGGGTTTTATTGCAGCAGTGCTTGTCAGTAGCCTTAGTTTCCATTTGAGGTTTAATCATATACTGGTTTCATTTTTGTCACTCTGAGCTGGGCAGACATCCTGTGAAAAGGTCACAAAGGAATGTAGCTGAAGATGGGTAGTTTAAGTTTTACAGATTCATCCATTTTAATGTATTTTCATTAGAGCATGCTTCTGTATTGATGTGAAGTTACAGTGACATCCAGTGGCAACAAGGTATGCTAATTGAAAGCTTCTACTCTAAAGATCATAATGATACACAAATTCCTAATTCAAGAGAATATTTCCTTAAAAAAAAAAATCTGTGACCTTTGCAACTGCACTTAGATGAAGAATTAAATGATCTTCTACTTGAAATTTTTTACTATGTAAAGTTACACAACAAACAAAATAAGCAAGCTTCCTTTCTTATTTCAGATTTATTAGTGATAGGTTAATTCTTTCCTAAGGTCAGTTGCATGCAACACACTACTCCTTGAAGTACAGTCATCTAAAGCTCTTTAGTTACTGCATGGTAAGGCTTCTTAAGTCACAGTGTATTTTCTTCAAGGCCTTGGCCAAAAGAAAAAAAATAGACAAAGTTACACCAATTAACATTTATCTCATAAGGAATACAACTTTACTACTAGGTTTTTTATCTATACACATTCTAATACTGCTGATGGTGCTAGGTTATTTGTCAAAACAATTTACATTCAGAACACATTGCCTTAGGAATAAGAATGCTTTATAAAAGACAGAAACAGGTAAGCATGGCTTTCCCATTTTGAGCTAATATGAACAAAAAAGTAATATGCAAAAATTAAAGAAAAAAAAAACCCAGCCCAACACATACATTACACAACCTGTGCAATAAGTTATCCATGAAATAACTCTGTTAAATCATAAAAATCACAAGCATTAAAAATAAATATGTATCTAAATAAATATTTTGATTTTAATCTTGTGGCAATTATTCTTTATTTAGCATATGAAACACTTGTTACATGTTTATGTTCACACCTTGCCAAACAGGTTACACTTGTCATAACAATATCAAGTACTACAGTGGTTTTCTTTACAGTAGAGCCTAAAAGTTTGAACTGCACACATTCTTTTCCACTGAAATACCATCGATTCAGCACCAGTTTTAAAATTATGCAAAGTCATCAGTATTGGACCACTTTATGGGACTGGGATTTTTTTTTAACTTGAGGCAGCCAGAACTTTATCTAATTGCTTCTCTTTGCCATCTCCTGCAGTCTCATTCATCAAATATTCACATTCACTGTGTTATCAAACAAGACAGACATACATCACTCCACATAAAGGTTACAAATAAATATGTTTTAAGTTCTATGAGAAAAGAGTTTAGAAGATGTTCAAAATACTTAAATGTTTACAAAGATTTTTGTCAGTGATTATTGTCCTTGACCATCCTTCTCAACACTTTTTGTCAAAGAAATAGAAAGGAAGGAGAGAAAAGGCAGAGACACCTGTCTGTTCCTTGTTCTGGAGTCCTCAGGTCATCTTCCAAGCCTTTCATTCATACAAAATACAAAATTCTCTTCAGCTAAGACAGCTTCAGCTTGGATGGAAGATGTTAGATGTACAGGGGGGTCTCTTGACCTGTTAGAAGCCTGAACATGGCAGCTGGCATAGTCTTCATGTGAATCTGTCAAGTGATTACACAGACATTAATAGAGCTGGTACTAGTTTAAAATAATCCAGAAGGCCCCATCTGTCTCTCCCTGTGGCCAAGGTGCATTTTTTGTCCTGGCTTCTATAGATTTTTTACTAGAGATTCTAGTTCAAAGTTCTCAGGTTTTAGGATGCTGGTTTGCTGTCTTTGCTTTTTTTCCATGTGGTTTGGGGGTTTTGTTTGGTTTTGTTTTGGTTTTTAAATTATTTAATAATGTCAATTACATGATGTGGCATCATATAGTTTTAAAAGCCACCTAAACACTTTTTGTTGATACACCCTACTCCGATTACCGTAAAATTTACAGACCTTAAATAAGAAGTAGCACAAATCTCTCTGAAAATTCGTTCTGGTATTAATGGAACTTATATTTGTATTCTATCTTCCTTCTCTGTGGGAATGTAATTTAATATTTTCTCCTAATTACAGTATGATCCTCTGAACACAAAATTTGGACTTTGCTACCTGATGTTTAAATGCCAGTCAAGAGCTTGGTGGAACAGTTTCTCCTATGACTAATGTACTTAAATTCCTTCCTCAAGGAGTCCTGGGACTCCAGTCCCCAGTGCCAGAGGGATTTCACAGAATAACAGTGCAAGGCTCAGGTAATCAGGTCTCCACCAGAACTGTACTTACAGCTCTAAATACTTATTGGACAACACAAGAGGAAGGAAGGGAAACTTTACTAACTGATAATACAGACCCTCGCCAGCTGCCTTGGTATCTTTGCTTCATGCAAAGATACCAAGGTAAAGAAGAAATGCTGTAAAGAAGAAAAATTTCATGCTGTATTCCTTTGTTAGGTGAGAAGTTATACAGTAAATGGGAACCATAAAGGCATGGAGGGGCTATTGGAATCTACAGCTTTGCTCCTGACAAAGTGCACATACTCTGTTACTGTTTGTCAGATACCATTTTCCAGAAGAAACCAGCTGTTTTTAATTTTTGTCAGAGGAACTAGAGGGAGATCTGGCCATTGTTCTGTATTTAGACTACCATTAAACTCATGAGGGATTTTGAAAAATTGGACAATCTTGCTTATTCATTGCTGATCTCTCTAGCATGGTAAGTTGGAAATTAAATTATTAAAATGTATATCAGTTTGCATCTCTCAGACATAGTAATTAATTTCTATGGCAGATGCTGTAGTGATGAACCAAGAGACAGCTTCACAGCCAACACCCCTAAGTGATTTCTTCCTTTAATCACTTGATTTAATTCAGACAGTAGGTTGAAGGTACAGAATTATGCCAGGAACTCTTAAAAATGAATGGAAGAATACAGTGAATGTGCATCATTAGTTGTTAAAAAAAATTCTGTTAATTGTTTCTTATTAGTGCCAAACTCAATTTACTGGTTTGGTGATTTTAATGCTGTATTGATACTCTTTTCAACTGAAACATATATTTTTTCAACTATTTTACTTCCTTGATAAAGACTTTGTTCCCTTACCTCTCCCACTGAATTAGACAATGCTTGTACTATCTTTTCATGAGCAGTAGCCACGACGCTCTGCCCGTTGATCTCGATAATCCGATGTCCCACTCTTACCCCTCCCCTCTCTGCTATTCCACCTCGCATCAAGCTGCAAATCTGCCAAGAGAAAGCAATGTTTAGTGAAATTCAGAAATACCATGATGCAGCACTCACTGGGATTTCATGCATAATAATGAGTGGTGACACTGTAAGGATTCCAGAAGATGCTTGTTGAAAGTATTAATCAATGAGTTTTTAAATGTTACTTTATTGGTTTGTTAGAGGGAGTTTTTTTCTGAGGTTTCTGCCTATTATAATTTTCATTTTCATTCTCTGACTGGGAACATAAAAATACCTTTCCCAGTGATACAGGTAGTAGCAACGCAGAAGTGGAGAGGGGGAAAAGAGATTGATTTATCCACTGCTGGGACACAACCTCCTGTGCCCCTGCAGGAGAGGAGGGAGCTCTGCTCTCCAGGGTCACAGCTTCCCTCCACATTGCTCAGTGCTGCTGCCACAGGGAGCTCGGGATGAAGGAGGCAAATTAGGCCATTTTCTTTAACTGGCAGCTGAGGTTCCAGGAAAGAACCAGGCACGAGTTCTGAATGCTATGACCCCTACAGCAGGGTAATAATTCTACAAGAAGAACTACAGTCAGCAGACACAGTTCCAGCAGACATTGCTACCTAAAGCGTTCTGAGATTACAACATGCAGAGTCCAGGCTGAAAGAGAAATCTCAATCCGGTGCTGAGAATGTTTCCT